GGAGGGATGGGGTGGCTGGGTGCTACAATTGATTTTTGTATATGTATCTTCTTTCCTGTAGAAAGAACACTGAACACTCTTAGTAGTAGGACTTTTTTGGTAGATTCCTTGGTAGTTTCTTTTCTTTCTTTCTTTCTTTCTTTCTTTCTTTTTCTTTCTTTCTTTTTTAAAGATTTTATTTATTTATTTGTCACAGAGAGAGAGAGAGAGCACACACAAGAAGGGGGAGTGGCAGGCAGAGGGAGAAGCAGGCTCCCCACTGAGCAAGGAGCACAACGTGGGACTCAATCCCAGGGCCCTGGGATCATGACCTGAGTTGAAGGCAGATGCTTAACCAACTGAGCCACCCAGGAGTCCCTTCTTTCTTTTTTTTAATTAAAACTTAGTTGACACACAATGTTACATTAGTTTCAGGTTTATAACACAGTGAGTTAACAAGTCTATATGTTATGCTATGCTCATCACATGTGTAAATACCATTTGCCACATTCCTTGGTAGTTTCTACATAGAGAATCATAACATCTGCAAATAGGGACATTATAATTTCCTGCTTTATAATTTGTGTGACTTTTCTTTTCTTTTCTTGCCTTATTGCACTGACCAGAATTTCATTTGAATAGTGATGAGACCAAATATCCTTTCTATGTTCCCAACATTGGGAAAAACATCCAACCTTTCATTATTAAGAATAATATTAGTTTTAGGAGACTCATAGATGACCTTTATCAAACTGAGGACATTGCACTCTATTCTTATTATTAAAGGATTTTTTAACAACCATGAATAAATATTGAGGATATCAGCAAGAGGGAAAAATAGGAAGTCCCAGACCTTATTCACTTCTAGATACACTGATTTAACAATATATGGTCCAAAAAACTTCTAGAACTCCAGAAACTACTTAAGAAGTCATAATACCCCATGGAAGCCCAACGCCAAGAACAGCTGCATTGCAATAAGTAAAAAATATTTTATTTCTTTTATTTTTTATTTTAATTTTTACTTTTTAGTTTCAAATTTTTATTTAAATTCTAGTTAGTTAACATTTAGTGCAATATTGGTTTCAGGAGTAGAATATAGTGATTCATCATGTACATATAATACCCAGTGCTCACCACAACAAGTGCCCTCCTTAATATCCATCACCCATTTAGCCCATTCCCCACCCATCTTCCCTCAGCTGGTTCTCTACAGTTAAGAGTTTCTTATGGTTTGCCTCCTTCTCTCTCTTTTTTTAATTCCCTCTTCCTCTATGTTCATCTGTTTTGTTTCTTAAATTCCACATGTGAGTTAAATTATATGGTATTTGTCTTTCTCTGACTCACTTGTTTTTTTTAGCATAATACACTCTAGCTCCATCCACATCATTGCAAATGCAAGATTTCATTCTTTTTGATGGCTGAGTAATATTCCATTATATATCTGTCTCTCTCACATGATTATCCATTCATCAGTCAATGGACATTTGGGCTCTTTCCATAATGTGGCTATTGTTGATAATGTTGCTATGAACATTGGGGTGCATGTGTCCCTTTGAATTAGTATTTTTGTCAGAACCAGCATACTTTGGATGCCTGGGAGCAACCAAAAACAAAAGAGAACTCAATTACTTGTTGCAGTTCCAGAAAACTTGTAATACTGTAGACAGAAACTAGTACTACTCAGCACAATCATGAGAAAGTGTCCAGTTCATACCTTCCTCCTTGGGACAGGAAAAAAAAAGAGTGGAATATATGTCAAATAGTCTGGATTTTCAAGGGGCTGCCTAAAGGACTGCTATTTCTTTCCTGACTTAGAACACTGGCAGACTCAGGATTGTTTGGATTTCTGGGGGCTGCTGAAAATAAAAGAGAACTCAGTGGTTTATTGCAGTGCCTAAGTATGTTCCACAAGTAGACTGATACTAGAGGGAGCAAGAAATTACAAGCTCTTGAAAAAGAAACCAGCTGACCTCTATAATTGAGAAATTACACACCTAAGCCCAGGAAAATGCATTCCCATACAAGGTTTGAGAGAAGGTCTTCACTATACAAAGAAAGGTCATGAAGATTGGAAAAAGTTGTTGTTTTCTCAGATGCACAAATCACAACAACAACAACAAAAATAACAAGACACAAGAACAAAATAAATCTTCAAAATCTGACTGTAAAGAAATGGAGATCTACGAATTACCTGATGAAGTATTCAAAATAATCATTGTAAATAAGCTGCATACACTACAAAAGAACACAAACAGGCAACAAAACAAAATCAGGAAAAATGTGCTTGAACAGAATGAGAATATCAACAAAAATAAACTATAAAAGGGAACCAAAAAATATTGTGGAGTGGAAGAATACAATAATGCAATTAAAAAAAATCTACTACAGAGCATAAACATCAGTTTTGGTCAAGCAGAAAAAAAAAAAAAGAAAAGAAACAGTGAACCTGAAGACAGGTCATTTGGTATTATTGAGTCAGAGGAACAAAAAGAAAAAGGAATGAAAAGGAAAATAAAGTAAGGAAAACCTAAGACGTTTGTGGGAAATCAGCAAGAAAATCAACATATGTATTGTGGGAGTCCTAGAAGGACAAGAGGAAGAGAAAGGGACAGTGAGTTTATATGGAGAATAATCACCAAAAATTTCCCAAATCTGAGGAAGAAAATAGACCTCTAACTTCAAAAAGCTTAAAAGATTCCAACTAGGATAAACCCAAAGAGGTCCAGAGATACATTATAAACAAATTGCCTGAAGTCAAGACAAAGAATCTTAAAAGCAGCAAAAGAAAAACAACTCATCATGCACAGGTGAGCTTCTATAAAATTAGCAGTCAATTTTCAGCAGAAAATATAAGAGTCAGATGATATATTTAAAGTGCTGAAAGAAAAAAAAAAGCTGCCAACCAAGAATACTATCTGGCAAAATTGTCTATCAAAAATGAAGGAGAGGGGTGCCTGTGTGGCTCAGTCAATTAAAAGTCTGCCTTCGGCTCAGGTTGTGATCCCAGGCTCCTGGGATCAAGCCCCATGTCAGGCTCTCTGCTCAGCATGGAGCCTGCTTCTCTATCTGCCCCTCCCCCCTCTCATGCTTTCTCTCTCTCTCTCTTTCAAATAAATAAATAAAAATCTTTTTATAAAAAATGAAGGAAAAATAGAGACTTTCACAGATAAACAAAAATTGAAGGATTCATCAATACTGGATCTACCTTGTAAGAATTGTTACAGGGACCTGAAGTTGAAACAAGAGGACACTAGACAGCAACATGAAATCATGAAAATATAAAGCTCCTTGGTAAAAAGCAGATATATACAGAATCCTGTAATACTGTAATAGCAGTACATAAATCACTTAATTCCAGTGTGGAATTTAAAAGATAAAAGCATAAAAAATAACTATGAGACAACGCTAATGGTACAAAATATAAAATAGTGTAATTTGTGACATTGATAACAGAAAGTGGGGATAGAAGAGATGTAAAGGAGTAGTATTTAAATAGGTTATGTCATAAAATAATATAAATAAATATAAATTTTATGCAGTCCCCAGAGTAGCCACAAAGAAAATATCTATATAAGGTACATAACAGAAATAAGAAATCAAAACATGTCACAACAAAGAAATTAATGAAACACAAAGACAAGAAATAAGAAAGGAAAAAGACAAAATAATTAAAAGACAAACAGAAAACAGTGAACAAAATAAGAATGTAAGTCCTTTCCAAACATTAATATTGTAAAAGTAAATGGGTTAAATAAACATCATAATCAAAGGACATGGAGTGACTGCATAGATTAAAAATGCAAGATCCAACTATATGCTGTATACAAAAGACTTTAGATATAAAGATATAAACAGGTTGAAGGGAAAAAGATGGAAAAAGATATTTTTGCAAATGGTAACCAAAAAAGAGCAATGAAGTCCATACTTATATCTGACAAAATAAACTTTCAGTCAAACTGTCAACAAGAGACAAAGACAGATATTTGATAATGATAACAGGGTCAAATAATTGGAGGAGCTAACATTTCTTCCATTCTGTAGGCCCATTTTGTATTTTTAGAAGTCCGTTTATTATTTATTTACAGTGTTTTTACAGTGTATCTCTTTGCATAGATTGTTCAATGGTTGTTCTATATTTTATATTTATGTACATAGCATCACAGTTTCCTGATGTTATCATTTGGCCAGTTCAAGTGAAGTATAAAACTTTACCTGCCTTTAAATCCCTTTACCCTATCACATTTGTACTTAGCTTAAACATTTTTTAACATAAATTTGGAACCATATCAACAGAGTTATAATTTTTTCTTCAATAGTCAAACATAATTTAGAAAATTAAAGATGAGAAGAAAAGATTACTGTATCATTTTTTTTCTTACTATATTTTTTCTTCCTTCCAGATTCCAGGGTTTCTTCTTTTATTTAATTAATAGACAAATTTCTTTGGCCCTTTAGTTTTCTAGAGGAGACATAGTCAGATGACTAACTTACTTCCAAATTACAGTCCAGAGGCTGAAATCTCATTAGACTAATGACCTCATAGTGTACTTACTCGTTTCTCCACCAAGAGGGTGTTATTGAGAAAATAGAGAAATTTTGGTAATGATGAGAAAAATAAAGCACATATTTTCCAGAGGTAAGTAACAACTATCTTTCAAACTAGAAATTCTAATCACTATTTGAAAACAAGATAACTGGCACCTGGCAGTGGATTACCTCTTTCTGATTTATTCATTTCTTTTGCTAAGTTACTCAATTTCCCATTATGTTTTGTTCATGGGAACTTGGGTTAATGATGAGACTATTTCTCCACAGGGGTGAGGAGGTGAAAAACTCATGGGGTGTGTGGGGGCCATATCAGTGACTTTGGGATTCTGAAAACATTTAATGTCCCCTCAGGTCCTTCCCTTGTCAAGAACAAAACAGAAATCTTAAAAAGCCATCTTTAGACCCTGACTAAACAGCCAACAGAGTATTATTTTCCTTCCCCTTCATCTCTTCCATGAAAAATGTCTCTTTTATATGCTATGGGATTTGATGTTCTTAGAACCTGAAAAGATCTTTATGACACAGTCTCGAATCTGCTTGGTTTTCACCCCATAGACAATAGGGTTCAGAGTGGGAGGCAAGAGCAGATAAATATTGGCCACAATGATGTGGCAAGATGGAGGGATTGCATGGCTCCCAAAATGATTAAAAAAGAAGCAGACGAAGTCTGGACTATAGGAGAAAACAATGGCACAGATGTGGGCAGTGCAGGTGCTGAAAGCCTTCTGTCGAGCATCTGCCGAAGAGAGACTGATCACTGCCCAGAGGATCATGGTGTAGGAGATTGTGATGCACAGGATGTCGAAGCCCCCAATGAGGAGGGCAGCCATCAGACCATAGATAACATTGGCCTTGATATTTCCACAGGATAACTTAGCTACAGATAGCTGGTCACAATAGGTATGGTGTATTATATTGCCCTTGCAATAGGGTAGTCTCTTGGTGAAGAAAATCAAGGGAATGATGAGCAACACTGCTCTCAAGAAAGTAGCAAGCCCAGCCTTTGCAATGACAGGATTGATGAAGATAGTTGAGTAGTGCAGAGGGTAACAGAGGGCTATATAGTGGTCTAAGGCCATAAGCATGAGCACCCCAGACTCCATCCCTGTGAAGGTATGGATGAAGAACATCTGGACTAGGCATTCTTCAAATCTAATTTCCTTGAGATGAAACCAGAAGATGCAGAGAGCTTTAGGGATTGTACTAGATAGAGCACATGACAAGGTCAGTAAGGGAAAGAATGGCCAAAAAATAATACATGGACCTGTGCAAGGAGTCCTCATAGCAGATGAGGTAGAGGAGTCCACAATTCCCTACCATGGCCACCATATACATGGAGCAGAATGGGAAGGAAATCCACATGTGCATATCCTCCAGTCCTGGGATCCCATTAAGAATGAATGAGGCTGGTGTTACATCTGTTTGGTTCAGAATTATCATAATTAAGCTGGTGTAAACATTAAGAAGCTTGTAGGGTTGAAGTTTTATTTTTGTTTTGTTTCATTTTTTGACCCTCCGAGTTTTGGAAAAATACCAAAAAAAAAAAATCTTTGTTGTGCTCCCTCTCTCCATCTCTTCTCTCTGTTAAACACTGTATTGTAATAACAAGAAAACAAACATTTTAAATGCCAGGACATGTTTATTTAAACATTGTTTAAACTAAGTTTAAACCATTGTTTGTTAATTCATTAATTTATCAGTTCATTCAACAATACATACTTAATACCTACTATGTGTTGAGTTTTATCACAGATACTGTGCCTAATTACTTTAAAACAAAAAGATATAGACACAATGCCCATAAACTTATGATCAAGTGTAATTGTGTTACATTTATGATTTATGTCATTATGATCTCTCATATTGATATTTGTTATAATATCTTATTTAAATATTAATTATTATAACCTCTCCGTTTGGGTGTTTCTTAAGGTAGAACTGATTGATTACCTCACCAGTGATGCAACAGATATGATTAGGATGTATTTGTTATTGTTCTTAAAGTTTTTATTTTTTATTGTTCTTCTTTTTAATAATAATTTATATTTATACTTACTATGTACTAGGTAAAGTTGTAAGAAGTCTATATACATTAACTCATTTCATCCTCACTACGAGCCCAGGGTGCATTTTTATTAATTTATACTTCATTATTGAGTAAATGGAGGCGCCATGTAGATGAGGTTTCTTATGTCGGAATTTCAAAGGCATTCTCAATCTCCTAGTTTAAGGTATAGTTATTAAGAGGACTGTTGATACTTTTTTAAATTTAGTTTTATTTTATTATGTTATGCTAATCACCATACAATACATCATTAGTTTTTGATGTAGTGATCCACGATTCATTATTTTGGTATAACACCCAGTGCTCCATACAGTACATGCCCTCCTTAATACCCATCACTGGGCTGTTGATACTTTTTACATGAACTATTCTTCTTTGCTTTTCTTCATTTATTTGTTTTCTGGTTCTGAAATACATAAGAACATTTTAAAACTTCTATGCTTTCACGGTCAATGCTGGTAATGGTGATGATAGAGGTGTATGTGTGCATATATGTCATTTATTGTGTAGGCATTTATTGGGCCTTTTTGGGTCTGGAAATCTGTGACCTTTGGTTTTAGAAATTTTCTTGTATTAGCTTTTTTCTTTTTAAGATTGAAGGCAATTTTATTTTAAAAAATATATATATTTCTGGTTTTTGTAGTCTTTTTTATGTGTTGTATTAACTTTTGATAATATCTTCCCAACTGTGTCCTTGTTATTTTACTATTACTTTTAGTTAGATATGGGATCTTCTGGCCTTATTCCCTTCTTCTCATTTATTTTCTTTTAAAATTTTTATATTATATCTCTTTATTTTTTAATCTATTTTCTAGAAAAATTCCTGAACTCTATATCCCAAGTGTCTTGGCATTTTTTTAATCTAATATTACAAATTTCCAACAACCTATTTTCTTCTGAATCTTGTGAAACTGACAGTAATATATATATGTACATATGTATATGCTTCATATATAATTTCTATATCATCTAAATTCCAATTATTTATTTTTATAGCTTTTGTCTTTTACTTTGGAGGAGTTTCTCATATATCTGGTAATCTTTGAATATTGATTCACACTTAAGAAAGAGGCTATAGAGAGCTGATATGAATTTCATCAATTGGTAGGATTTACTTAAAGTGCTCAAGTAGGGACTCTACTCCATTGGGGGCATTCTTAGTTATCATAACTTATTTCCTCAGGGACCTTTGATTTTTGCAGAAAGTCTGTATCCTGGAGGATTGTATGGTTGGCTGCCAATGTTCTTGGAGTTAAGTAGTAGAAGGGTACTGAGGAACTCACATTAAAATAAGAATACTGTAAAAAGAAGAAGATAGTAGGAGGGGAAAAATGAAGGGGGGGAAATCGGAGGGGGAGATGAACCATGAGAGACTATGGACTCTGAAAAACGAACTGAGGGTTCTAGAGGGGAGGGGGTGGGGGGATGGGTTAGCCTGGTGATGGGTATTAAAGAGGGCACGTACTGCATGGAGCACTGGGTGTTATACACAAACAATGAATCATGGAACACTACATCAAAAACTAATGATGTAATGTATGGTGATTAGCATAACATAATAAAAAAATACTGGATTAAATTATCTCATTTTTTGAATCTCATCCTTGGCCTTCATCACACCTTTTATATACATTCATATTATTAGGTGCAGTTTCTTCCCAGAACATACTTCTAGTCACATAAGAAGATAATTAACATTGTTTAGGATAGTGGAAGAATCAGAGATAGCAAGTTGTTCTTTGTTCAGTGTTTCTGCCTACACCTACGTTTTATCTTTATATATTTGCACATGGGATGGCAGATTAGGTACTGCAAAGGACAACTTTTTTGGAAATAGTAAAGTGACACAGGATGAACATGTTTATAATAGTGCTCTTCAAAGATCTCTTCTATGGCATTACAAAAATCATAGATCATACAGAACAGAAAGAATGGCAGAAAGGAATGGCAATGACTTTAACTTTGAGGCATATCAGAAAAGTTTCTAAGAGGAAAGACCAATGCTTTTAAACATGAAGCATGGTTAGGTTTATGATGGGCCAAATAGGCAGAACAGTGTTCTCTCTTGCTGCTTGCAATTTTTTTTTCAAGATTTTATTTTATTTATTTGAGAGAGAGAGAGAGTGAAAGAGAGAGGGTCAGTCGAGCCGGGAACCCAATGCGGGACTTGATCCTGGTACTCCGGCATCATGACCTGAGCCAAAGGCAGTTGCTTAACCAACTGAGCCACCCAGGCGCCCCTGCTTGCTATTTCTTACTCAAATCATACTGACATATTAGCTACATGATTTTGCAAACGTCTTTTCTTTTTGTGTTCCCCCAAATAGCCTCTAGTATAACATATATCAGGAAGACTCAACTCTATCTTTGACAGGTTAGAAAGTCAACCTCTACAGCCTCTTAATATCATGTAATTAGCAAAGTGCCAGGATTAGAGTTAAGGAGTAGATTTGTTTATGGAATCAATGTCTTTCACTATCTTAACATTATGGTATTATAAAAATCTTATCATATTCTTGAACCAGCCACAATTTAATAAAACTTCATATTGACACAGATTGTACTTTATACCTGCAGTGTCGAGCAAGATGGCACATATTAGATGTTGATAAATAATTTTGAATAAATGAGCAGATTAATGAATTAACTAGTCATAGTCTATACTTGACTTTAAGCATTATTAAATTAAATGCTGTAGTATAAATATTATTACTTGGAAAGCACAAAGGAACCACCAGAAGAAACAAAACCAGAATGTTTACCTCATAAATCACCAGAAATTATAAATTTAAAAAAAAATACTGAAATAGAGAAAACAAAGGAAATCCCAAGGAAGCAGAGAAAAATAATGTGCTAGGAAAAATAAATATATTGGTTTGGGAAAAAAAGATCAACTATGTAAACTACACTATAAATTGGTCTTAAAGTGACTTTTAAAAAGTATATATATATTTATACATTTTTATATATAATATACATAATATATATTAAATATTATATTTTATATATGATATATATAAAGCAATAGAAGTTTATTAAGCAAGGATACAGGAAAAGCTCTCAGGAGTGAGAAGGATCCTGAGAGGGTTGCCAATGAGGGCATCCATTAAAAGTATTGTTTTAAGAAGAGGTATATCAGAAAGTATACCACACTCAAAGTATGCAGACACTTTTGTTTTGTAAATAGAAAAAAATACCAAATAACCAAAATAACAAAACACAGCAAAAATTTTGGATAAACTATTACACTTAGATAATGCAGAAATAAAAGCAAGAAAATATTGGATCAAGATCACACTGGAGAAAAATAAAAGAAAGGCCTGAAGCAGTGCAATGAAAGCTGATATACCAAGTTGTTTTATCTGTAATTTTGGCAAAGTTTCTCCACAACCAAAACATTACACAGTGCTGATGTAATTCTCTGGCTCACTTTGTTAGTACACAGATTTTTAAAACAAGACACTTAAAAATAAGTAAGTAAGTAAATAAATAGTAAAATGAGATTCTTAAATTATGTCACAGCTTATTAACTGCTCCTTAGTTTCTTATTGTAGTGTCATTGATATGGTCTTCAACTAGTAATACAAGTCTAACAAAAGCCTTACAATTTGCATTTTGGAGAAAAAAAAAACCCACTATGGGCTTATAGTATTGTGTTTCCATGAATAAAAAAATTGCCATCAAGTTTCATTCCATAGGGCTTGTAAATTGTACATTATGTTTGAATACACAATATTTTTTATTAATTTCACATATATCATGAATGGAAATTTTAAAAACTATAAAAATCATATATATAGAAGTGCATATATGTTTATCCATCTATATATGTTTCTTATTAAAATAAAATAGATATTGAAATTTATTTTGATAAATATTTGACTGGTATACAATAAATTACCATAAGTTGTTGAAAAAATAATATCACTACTCAATTCTCCTTAATACATTCAAATAGTCAAGTCTTTATGTATCTGTACAACAGAAGGAGATAAATTTAGGAAAAGTATAGGTATCCATAATTTTAAAATAGGCAATATATTTTTGAGATTCCTTGTGCTGTGTTCTACAGAATATCTTTCCTAAATATGAAATAAATATCCTACATATATCTCTTGTGCTTTTTTTTTATAGATATGTCTTTAACTACTAAAACTGACTTTCATGTTACACAATAATTTCAGGTCCCATGTTTAATTCATTTGCAAAACTGCCAGAGGTCCATGCTTATATGCAGGTAATATAGTACTATCTACAAAATAAGGAAATTTCCAAAACAGATTTAAAATTATTTCAATACATCATAACTTAATTGTTCTAACAAGGAAAATTAACTAATACTATGTCATGGGTGTAGACAGGTATTTTGGAATAG